AGAGGTGGGGCGAGTGGGGGAGGCAGGCTCCGGACTTGGAGGTCATGCATAATTCAACAGCTCAACTTTCGGGCCCGCCTCTTTCCTGGGGGTGGGAGTTTGCTCCAAACTTTGTTTATGGGACAGTCCGGGAGCAGCTGCGGCCGTGCTGTCTGCTTCTCCTGTTCCTTCTCTCGGAGCACGAGCGCCTGGGGCCAGTTCGGGGGATGTGAGAGCGGAAAAATCTCTTGGCTGCCAGGCACGAGTCGGGTCGAGTTCTGCCAGCTGAGCCCCCGTTCCAGCTCTGCAAGCTCGACACACGCACCCCGGCGACCCAGGTCCGACGGCAAGTTCAGGCGGGACGGCGGCCGCGGCGCGCTCAGGCTCGGCTTCGCTGCGCGCCCAGGTAGTGCCCATAGGAGCGCGCCCGCTCGTCCGCACCGCTGCGGAGCGCCGAGTTTGTCTTCCGGAGTCGGACGCCGAGAGTTGGCTCGGGTTGAGACTTCTTTGGGGTGGTAGTGTGTGGGGGGAGGGGGCTCCCTGCCCTAGAAAGCTGCGACCTGCCCTTTGCCAGTAGCAGCTCAGCAATTTCCCGAGTGCAGTTAGCTCCCCCCATCCCCGCCTTCCCTTCTCCTCCTCCCGGTAACTTCTTTGCTTCAAGAAAAGTTGCATAATTCTCGAGGCCAGGGGGGACCCCTCCCCCATCCGCCTGGCCTTGCTGCTGAGTGCCTGGGATCCCGAGGCGGACACCTAGCTGTCTTATCTTTTTCTGGTCTCCCTCTTCTTCCTTGCACCTTCCCCCGCCTCGGTACTTCCAACAGACACTGGCTGACCTGACCTCACTTCTTGCAGAAAATGAATCCGGCCTCGGCGCCCCCTCCGCTCCCGCCGCCCGGGCAGCAAGTGATCCACGTCACGCAGGACCTTGACACGGACCTCGAAGCCCTTTTCAACTCCGTCATGAACCCCAAGCCCAGCTCGTGGCGGAAGAAAATCCTGCCCGAGTCGTTCTTTAAGGAGCCCGATTCCGGCTCGCACTCACGCCAGTCGAGCACCGACTCGTCGGGCGGCCACCCGGGGCCTCGGCTG